GACCATGCTTGGTAATTATACTAGAATTCCTCTTCCTTAGATATAGCCTAGCAGTGAGTTGGTCTTGCCAAAGTTTATGCTGAGCTTTACCCTTTATTGACTTCTTTTCTTATATTTAAGTGTGTGCTGTCAAAAGTGTGTGCTATCTCTACTTTCATTATTTCTAAACCAACATGAAAAAATAAGCAGGAACAGAGGGACCTCTTGACTATAAAAATATATTTGTGTGGGTAGGGTGTAGTTAGAGTTGATGGCATTAAAAGGGGTGCTGGTGTTTTAAGATGTACCTGAGATTTGTTTTAATCAGGTAGACTAAGACACATAGACAAAGAAATGGCTTTCATGATGAAAGAAGTTTTTATACTCACCAATTTCTAGAAACATGAAGCATGGAATGCCATGCTGGGCCACACAGGGAAATGCCAGGGCTGGTCAAAGGCAGAGGGAGCAGAAGGCAATGTGGGCAAAATTCATTCCTCCAAGAGCCCTGGTTCCTTTTATTGGAGGAATGTTAGAAACTAAAATCTGAAAGCTATTCTTTTTCTTTCCGAAATTGTCTTGCATTGACTTACATGTTTTATATTGACTAAGATTTCTAGAAGACTGATAGGGAATAAGTGAGGTAGGGGAAGCAGGTTTAGGATTGGCTAGTTTGGATAATTTTGGTGGGTTCTGGGAAATAAGGGCTTTCTCTAGTTGTCTGGTACCTGGCCCTGGGGTAGATGGATAAAGGCCCTGAATACAAGAGCTAGTTAGATAAAGAGGGTAGTTGTGGGGTCGAGCTTTGGATTTGTTGGTTTGCATATGAAAAGCATGCTCCCAGGCAAGTTGTTTGCTCTCTCTAGGAAATTGGCTAACCTTGGAAAGGACAGTCTCTTCTATTGTCATGCAAGATGTCAAAGCATCAGAGAAAAAGACATGTTCAATACAGTTGGTAATGTTTAAAAAACAACACCAACAAAACACAACCTGATTTGTAGCACTTGCCAAATTCCATAGGTTCTTGTGCAAGGCTATTACTTAATGTAATCTGTTTTTAAGGACATCTTCTCTGACAGACATGGCTATACAGGAGTGCTTTGATAAGGGAGAAATTAGAGCTAAAATGATACAGTAGGGGGTCATGATGGCACCTGAGGCTCACCTTGGTGCTGGGAAAGGATTTCAGTCATGATCAATTTAGTATTTTCCTCCCTGTGCTCACTTTTATCCCTTGTGCAAACAATTAGTGCATTTACAGTAATGTTGCCTAAAATGGATTAGGGAATTGAGCGTGGAATTAGAAATTTTCTTAAGAATTTGAGGAAATAAAGAAGAGTTTGTGGAGAATTTTATTTCACCAGCTTTAAGTAAGAAAATAAAACAAAAGAGGATGCCTGGGTGGCTTAGCTGGTTAAGTGTCTGCCTTCAGCTCAGGTCATATCTCAGGGTCCTGGGATCTAGTTCTGTGTCTGGCTCCCGGCTCAGTGGGGAGTCTGCTTCTTCCTCTCCCTCTCCTTCTACCATTCCCTCCCGCTCAGTCTCTCTCTCTCTCTCTCAAAATAAATAAATAAAATCTTAAAAAAAAAAGAAAACAAAACAAAAATTCTCTTCTGAACTATCCTTAAGCCATGAAATTTAGAATTTAAAAAAAAATTAAAAACTTACCTTTAATAATTCATGTTTTAAAATACATGTGTAACTGGCAACTTTAATATTTTCACAAATTCATGTTTCAGAAACTAATGTTTCTTTAAAAAAAATTAATGTAGAAGAAAAATAGGAAAGTTAATTTTCTCATAAAGTAATCTATTCCTAATATTCGGAGGTAATTTTCCATGGCTTTCTTACATTTCTATGCATCTTTTGAGCAGAGCTACTAACTGCCTTTCTTCTCTCTTTTCCAGAATATTTGTGCAGAAAATAGACTTGGAAGATAGAGATAGTGTCCCTACTGGAACAACATTTGGCCAGACTTATTGTCCATTAAAAAAAATTCGAGTTCCCTGAGCTTAGGGTTCCTCTTCTGTAGTGTAGCCCACTGTTTACAGGCATTGGTCTGGTCCTCTTTGTGTCATCTTGTGGGAATTAAGGCTCAGGGAATTGGTGCAAATGCTGACTCTCTGCTTATTACTATTCCTGTGAGAAACTGTCCTTCACCTCTGATCCAGGAGTCTCATGTCTGCTACCAGTCTTCATGAAACTGGCAGATTGACTTGTTAGCTTACAAGCAGGGTATGAGTTCAGACCCTCCATAGTTTTTGACACCTAGAGAAACTTGTGCACATTTGTACCAGGGTACCTTATAAGAATATTCAGAATAGAACTGCTTGTGATATCCAAAAACTGGAGGTAAACCAAATGTGTACCAATATTGGAATAGATAAATACATTTTATACATTTATATGATGACATCGTACACAGTATATACATAAGTGAACAAACTACAACTCTATGTAGCAATGTGGATTAATTATGTAAGCATAATGTTGAAAAAAAGAGCCAATCACAAGATAATACATACATCCTGATCAAAACAGACACAAGTAAACTGTATTTTTAGATATAAATACATTGGTGGTAATGGTATAAAGAAAATGAAGAGATATTATAGTAAAAGTCATGATAGTTATCTCAGATGGGGAGAGAGGAGTATATTAAAGAAGAAACTCATGGGCGGTATCTGTAGGGCTGTCAGCACTTACTCTATGTCTGACCCAAGTGGTAGATGCATGAGTGTTTGCTTTATATTTATTCACCATCCTGTGTATTTGTGTTTAATGTACTTTTTGTGGGTATGGTATTTCATAACCAGAGTGGTTAGAATTACTTTAGAAACAATTCCTTCATCTATTATTCTTTGGATGATATAACCCAATGTATCTGTTCACTGTAAAGAATATAAACAGAGAAAAAAGTGAACTTTATAATAAAGATTAATTAAGCCTTTATAGTCAATAACCACCAAATTTTTAATACTTTGTTGAATAAGTTTCCTTGAAAATGTCACTTTTACAAATATGCCAGCCTATTAAAATGGGAATCAAAGTTTGTTTTGAGATTGATTCTTATGTGCTTCACTTTTGAGAGTCAGTACTGTGAACACATACATAAGGAATACATCTTTTTGAAGTACTGTACAGAAGGTGATAGGGTGATATTACTTATTTTCAAGAATATACCATTAACAAAATAAGTACTTGGAATTATTGATGCTATGTGTTATGCTTTTGAAAGAACATAAAGTATATGGTCATTTGATAAAATACATACATTTTCTGGTTAAGAAAAATTTTGTTTTTCTACTCCTTTATGTTCATTTCAATGTATTAAATATTAATCTTTCTTTGATCTGCCAACATATGCATGTCTAGGCATCCTCTTTGCTGATCGAAGTATTCCTATTTATTAAAAGAAAATACAGGAAATGTGCAGTTCCCAATCTTAACTATTTTTGAAGATTTTATTTATTTATTTATTTTAGAGAAAGCAAGAGGGGGAGAGCGGGAGAGAGAGAGAGAGAGCCAGGGAAGGGGCAGAGAGAGAATCTCAAGCAGATTCCCTGCTGAGCGGGGAGCCCGACATAGGGCCTGATCCCAGGACCCTGACATCACAACCTGAACCAAAATCAAGATCAAATGCTCAACCGACTGAGCTATCCAGGCACCCCTTAGATATTTTTAAAGCAATAAAAAAAGTTTTAAGGTTTTCCTGATTTGTCAATAAGGTTTAAAAAAGAATAATAGAAATAATAATTATGAGACTGATTTAGCTGTATAGTATGTTGAGTGGCTGAAACATTAGCGCTTTCTTCATATTTTAAACAGTTTGAAATTCTTTCATAGCTGCCGACAATTATATTACAGTTTCAGAGATCAATTGTAAAAGATGCTCTAGGGATGAGGAAATGAATGCCAAGCAAAAGAAGGGACTAAGACAAGGCCACAGAATGAACAGTAAGATTCAACACCAAGAAGTCAAGATTCAAGCCCAAGTTTGAAGCTCTTTTCTCAATTGAATCACAAGCCCCCACCCCCAAACCAAAGCCAGCAATACTTTAGGAAATTCTTCCATGACACCTGCTCCCTTCTTCCTCAAGCCCTACTTGTCTCCTTACACTTTTCCACTCAAGTTGAATTCACAACTCTCTAATTTTAGGCTCAATCCCTTTTCCTAGATAGGATGCATATGAGGGAGAGAGAAGAATGAAAGATTTCTGCAGCCCTTTGGGTTGATTTTTCATTAGCATAAATATAAGCAACCAGGACAACAGAGGACTCAGCAGCAGATGGCTGATAAGATCCCCTCTTGTTCAGTATATTCAGAAATGGAATTAATTTTTAATACCACATATTAGCTATCTTCTAATACATAGGTAGTCTCCTTGAAGTCCCTTCCAGTAAGCACAGATGCTGCTGATGGAATAAATGGAAGTCAGCCTGATCTAATAGAAAGTGTTTTTCCACCTTTTCCTGGGATAGCCATTTTAGTCTGAATTGTACTGGCAATATACTTATGAGACACTCAATAACTGTTAGCTCTACTGGGGTATGGCTGAGTGAATGGATCATGGCATAGTAGGGAAAGCACTGGACTGGAAGTCAGAGAAATTGAAATCAGGTTTTTTAGTTTTTTTGGAGCAGATGGTGGAGTAAAAACAAATCATTGACTGTTTTGGTTTCAGTTTATTCATTTGTCTAAACAAGCAAATCAATGAATCTGATGATTTCTAAGATACCGTTAGCTAGCTCTGTGTTTCTCAGACACTGTGAATGGTAAATACCACTTGTTATCTTCAACTATTCCAAGTAAAAAGAGAATAACTATATTTTTAATTTAATGACTTAAAGTATATTCTTCAATCTCCAAAGGCCAGTTACCCGACATTTTTATTCCATAGAATAAAATAGGTACAATGTAGAGAACCCTTAGTATGTTTCAGGTACTATATTAATTACTTAACAAATGCTATCTCATTTAATCCTTTATGAATTTGTTATTATTATCATGATTTTTTTAGATGATGGGACTCAGGCTTTGGGAATTTGAGTAACTTGACTGAGGCCCAGAAGCTGCTCCTGATTGGTAAGACATGACATCAGCTCATTTCTATATTGCTTCAGAGTCTGTGCTCATAATCACTGTACGTGAATGGAACATGGCAATACAGGATCATCAAGGGGAATCACTGGGTTAAGATGGAAGGGTGTAAATTGTTTTATTTCAGAGGTAATATATAGTTATATTCTTGATAGGCAAAATTAAAACAGCACATGGCAAATGTGAAATTTCCTCCTTACCTACCCTTTCATTCCCACTCTCCTCCCCAACAGCATAATTGCTCTCTATAGTGTAGTGTATGGAGACATGCTATTTTACTGACTGAAAGGAAACACAAGGAGGGGGGAGGGGCTCTGAGGTAATATAATGTGCTTAGTTACCCAGATGTGTTCATTTTGTGAAAACATATCAGGCCTTTATGACTTGTATACTTTTCTGTAGGCATGTGGTATTTCAGTTAAAAGCATGTCTGAGCTTCTTTCACAGTGTATAAGGAACAGGGGTGGGACTCCCCTTCATTGGCCAGGTCCTCTTCAGGGACCCAGAGGGGATCCTTCTGGATCAGCCTTTGGGGAAGAATTCCTCCATGCCCTCATCCACGCGGGCACTGAGCCCATTCTATATGCATGTAGTACTTCAGTTAAAGCATGTCAAGGAAAATACCGTGATACTGAACTGCTAGTTGTCCCAGAACCTCCCTTTTGGGAAATTATGGAAAAAACCTTGTAAAAATTGAGTTGCAAAAACAACTTTCTCTCTTTGTTCCTTGAGGATTAATGATTCTATATTGTAATTTCTGGAGTCCACTTTGGTTATACCATTTGTTGGGAGCCTCCTACATAATTGGCATGCTCTACTTAATGTATTTCTCCATGTGAGGCTGCCCACATTCTTAGAAGAACGCCTAACTCAAATTGTGCTTAATTTTTAATCCCAATTGAGCTCAAACCTCAAATTTTCACAGTTGGTCTTCGAAGGGGGAATACCTCTTCCCTATTTATCTGGTTTCCATGAGAAAGATGGACTTAAACTTAGTAACTGAGGCTCTGCCTGCAGGCATGAGGAAAGTCATTCAGTACTGCCTGTATCTGGAAGGGTAAACCTAATTCTCAGGTTTAGCCTTCAGAAATTCCCTTCATTTAAAGGCTATATTCTTCAATACCAATGTAATAAGTCTCTCATTTATCTTGTTCTTTTGCCTAAGCAATTGGTTTAGAACTTGTATAGGGAAGAGAAACATTATTTGCTGGACCTCCTTCTTCATAATTCCATCAGATTAGTGACGGGGGCCAAGTGACCTAGAAAGAAACTGAAGAGGGAAGTAAGGATGAGGTCATACATAGCCCAAAGGGGAATGTTAAAGATTTTGTCTTTAATGTAAAGTCCAGTAGGAAGTCACAGAAGGTTTTAACCAGACATGTGACAAGATAGGATTAGCAGTTTCCAAGGAACAGCCTGATTGGCATGTAGAGAATGCATCAGAGGGGTATGGAAACACACATAGGAAGACCAGGTAAGAAAGTCCTAACTAAAAATAATGGTTGCTCAAATGAAGGAAATTATGTGATGGTTAAAATCATGAAATACACGTTCCTTTCCTCTTATGGTCTGGCTGATCTGGGAATATATTTTAGAATATTTAGAGGAATGGAAGTATGGCATAGCCTTCAGGCAAATCTCCAGGAATAGTATAGTAGTAGTATTCTTTCTGTCTCACTATCTCTCTGTCTCTCTGTGTCTCTTCCCTCTCTCCCTCCCTCCCTCCCTCCCTCTCTCTCTCTCTCAGTTCCCCTCACATACATACAGACATAAATACATACATACATAAACACACATACTCACACACTTTTGGATAAGAAATAAAAGAGAGTTTGGATTATATTTCCTGGTAATAATTTTAAGTGCACAAATTCTGTATATACTTCAAAGTCAACTGATATCTCCTGTGTCATTTAAGCATTAATGAGGACCACATTACCTCTATTCTTCTGAGAGTGTCTGGGCTCACCCTATGTCACCTCTGGCCCAAATCCCTCTTGGTAACAAGTTATGTCTGTCCAGAGTCCTGCTGTGTTACAAGGTACCCTAACCACAACCTTCCCTGTATTACAAGGAACTCCTATACCACAAGGATTCCCCTGTCACAAGAAGCCGATGACCACAGAAGAAGAAAAACAAACAAAACAGTTAGAAGAAAAGGGGACCCCTAACCACAGAGGAAGCCAGTTTTCATAAAGGGATCCCTGACTGCTTATTCAAGCTGGGAATTAGGTCTATAAATGCCAACTAAAAGGAACCAAATGGCTTGTGGAGGTGAGGTACTGCTGGGTGCCCCTCTCATTTCTGCTCGCTGCATAAAGATTAGCAGTAAGGGGAGAATCTTCTCTTCCAACAGCACATATATCTGATTCAAAGGCCATATGATCTTCCATGGATATGTGCCTGATGAGATTTTGTGCAAAAGGCCAAGATTTTCCTAGCAAGGCAATTTGGGTTTACTCCAACACTCAGATGGGCAATTGATGCACTGAAGTTCTACATCATAGAACATAGGCACAGTGATTTTCGACTGGAAAAATTTCAAAGGGTAGCTTACTGATCTTCCATTGTGGCAATTAAAAGCAATTCTCAATAAGATATTTCTAAAGCATTTACTTTGAGCCATGTAAATTCCTGGGGATTTCTAATATTAACTATTTCCTAATCTAAAATTAGGAAAAGTTATAAATAATCTCATCTGATACTACAGTCTGAGTTCATAAAGGGTGAATTTGGTTTGGGGGTAGGTTTTTAAATAACAATAAAATAGGGGAAACCATTATATATTGAAGCTGCTCCTACTATAAAAGAGAGAGAGGAGAGAGGGGGAAAAAAAAAGACACCCAGTGCATCTATATAATGATTTTCTTCTCTAAGACAAGCATATGGCTCACTCTGAAGTGTTACCAAATTATTAAATTTCACATTAAAATGAAGGGAGTGTGAACTCTTCCCTGCTTTGCCTCTTCACAGTTATCTGTTGACCCATAGATGGTGCTCTGATCTTGATTCTGGTGGAGATTTAATGATGAGCAGATTACAGACTGTAGATCTTTATTGAGTTAAAGGGAGTTTGCCATGACTCATTCATTCATTCATTCTGCCAGTAATTATTAAGCACCCACCATGTGCTAGGACTGTATTAGGTTTCTTTTCACAGTGTAAAGATCACTGGAAAGGAAATAAAAGCTTCACTGTATTTCTTCTCGAGATGATAATATTTCAGTTTATATTGCTGTATAACAAATTCCTTTAAAGCTTAATGACTTACAATAACAACAATTTATTACTTCTCACCATTTGGTCTGTTGGTTGGGTGGTTCCTCTGCTGATTTCTTCCGGGCTCTCTCACTCAGAGTTGCATTCAGCCTGGGCTAGAAGGTCTGAGACGTCTAACTCACGTGTCTGGCTGTTGGTGCTGGCTGTCCCCCAGGGTGCCTGTGTTGGCTCCCCATAGACCAGACCTGCTCTCTTATTACATGGCAGCCTCAGAACAGGGCTCCGAGTGGGTGAAGCCAGAGCCATAAAGCCTATTAAGGCCTATGTAGTCTTGTAAGTTGCATTATGTCACTTTGCCACCTTCTATTGGTCAAAGCGAGTTCAAGACCAGCCTAGATTCAAGAGGTAGAGGAATAGACTAACTCTTGATAGAAGAATTAATAAATCACATTGCAAAGGGGCATGCTTCCTGGGATGGGAGGACTTTGTGGTCATATTTTTTGATCTACAAAAAAACAAGTCGGGAAAGGAATAATAGTAGAATAGAAATGCTTAGATCCTGTAGTCTCCTGGTAGAAACATGACTGGAGAGGCCTGGACTTGCAGTTTTTAAAAAGGAAAGTGGTATGTCTTTAAGACAAGCTGTCTATTGGGTTAATGAGGCCATTTCTTCCGTGGAGAGTAAAGGGTTATATGGATGTGGATCGTATATCACACATGCTGTGTGGATTTCTTTATTATTTATCTTTTCCATTATTTCTAGATACTTAGTTTTCTTCAGCAGTTGACTAACCTTGGGAGAGTGTGTTAACTCCTAATTGGTACTTCTCCAGAGGGTAGGACGGAGATAATGAAACGAGATAGAACGAAGTAGTTTAGTTGCCCTGGCAAGGCAGTGTGATGTAGTTTGGTATTTGATGACATTGTACGTGATCAGATAATTAACCTTTCAACAACAATATTCAGTAAGCACACAAATATATTGTAGAAGTTAGAGCTTCTTTGGGGGTTATCATTTATTAAATCCCTACTGTGTGTCCAGATTTTTACATATGTTATCTTTAAATGTTTTAACAATCATGAAAAGTATCGGTTTCTGTTTTACAAATGAGAAAACTGAGGCCTAGGGAAGATGGGTGAATTTCACATAGCCAAATATTAAGTACAGGACAGAATTTAGACTTCCGGGTACCTACTCCATATCCATTCTCCTCCTCTCTTTGTGCAATGGAACCTCAGTTTTGCTGGAGGTTGCAATATGCCCAGCCAAAACTACATTTCACAAGCTTCTTTGCATAGCCAATGGAAACTGGCTGATGAAGGGTAGCTGGAAGTTGTTTTGTAGGGCTTTTGGGAAAGCACCTTAAAAAGGAGGCCGATTTGGTTGATATGCACACTTCTGCCATTATCCCTTCCTGCTGCTTGGAACAGGACACGATGCCTAGAGGCCCGGCATCCATAATATAAACATAAGCACAAGCATCCAGACTATTAGGATGGTAGAGCAGAGACCTGGAAGAAGCATGGGCCCCTGAAGAAATTATGGACCTGCTTTATCAGCTCTTACATGAGACGAAAATAAAACTCCCATCTTGCTTAAGCCAGGGTTATTTCCTATACAGGCAGCTATACTCAATCCTAACAGTTAAAGACACCAAAACACACAGCCCACATTGCTTTATCTCAATTCTTTATTTAAAAACAAAATTTAGAAAATTAGTGTCATGAAAGTAATAAAATAATAATGCAGATGCAAGAATGTCTGCA